CCAAGGAGAGGACAAGGATGATTTGGTGGGATCCCACCTGTAAGAGGAGAAAATGGACACAGCAGTGACTCCCGCTGAGGAAGACAGGAAACATTTATCTCATTTTTTGCACTCTGAAATTCAAACCCAGGGTCTAGTCAAGGATGCTCGCCATGGGATAAAAGATGCTGATTATCTTGGAGGTTTAACAAGTAGGACTGAGCAGCGACACCCTGCTAAGGATGGGACAGAGGGGAGTTTAAGATAAGCAAGCTTAGGATGAGGCATAACAGGGCTGCGATGGGGCCAGGTGTCACACTGAAGGGTAGCAGAGAAGCCTGGGAAGGAGAGAAAGCAGGTCTGTCCTACTCCTTCTGCACTACAGACATCCGTGGGATCAATAAACTAACAGGGAACCTGTGGCTCTTGTGTGTTCTCCACCTATATTGTCCAACTGCACTCTGCCTTTGAGTGAAACACAAGTGGTTCGGGGCAGGAGGAACGTCGGTCGATCGGTACATCCTCACCAAAGCAGTTTCTGTCTATGTCTGGCTGGGGAGGTTTTTTAGGAAAGACTTAATTGGACAAATCTCAATGCTTCATCTTATTTCAAAAATGTATTTTCTTGCCTGTTTAGTGACCCAGCTCCCAAACAATATAAAATTTTAAAAAATGAAAAACCCATTTTGTCTGCTAAGATCTTACAGTTGCTGGCTCAGTGGAGGTGGGCTACTGGTGGAGGTGCCAAAAGGTGCAAAGTCCCCTCTGTGCTGCTGCTATTGAGAGAGGGAGCGGGAGACAGGTGTCAGAGAGGGACCTACTTCGGCAAAAGACCAGCTGACGTGTCGTTCCTAGCAGAAAGATAACCACGGAAGAACAAGCGAAAGCACCAGTATCTCTGCACAATTAGGCTCCAATTCCCAACTCTCCTAAGCTATAAAAATAACCACTCTGAATCTACATCATAAATAAGATCAAGCATATACATTTCATGGAGTTTACCACAAGATTACCTGAAACTGTGTGTAGGAGATCACACTATACACCTTAAGGAGTATTTTAATTCCAGACAAGAGCAAAGACTTTTCTTTTTCCCATGGAAAATTATTACTCTCCTACTAAGTCTTTAATTTAATTTTATTTCTATCCATAAGCTAGGTGCATAGCAAGTAAAGTAGAAATGAAGGGATTGCACATCCCCTGAAAATCAGAACCTACTCCTGCTAGGTCTCACTTGCACATCATTTTCATGGCAGTATTTTGTCCCAGCCTCTTTAGTAGCACCACCACTCAAATGTGCTGACCAAAAGCTTTCCATCCTCCGGGACTATCCTTCAGAGGCCTCTCTTCCTCTGCAAATACTCAGCATAGCTCCACAAATCAGCTGGCATGGACGTGCAGAGAGGCAGAGCACAACTTATGGGTGGGTGACGCCAGCCTGCAGCAGCTCAGTCCAGCTGCTCCCCGCAGACCCAGGCACAGCACACAATGAGCCAAGGTGGGAGGAGTAGGGAGCTGAAGTGGATACTGCACTGAAATGAGAAGAGTGGAAAAAGAGGGGGTAACCACGCTTTGCTTTCCCACCCCATGCCATTGTCTGCTTTCAGGTAGTGCTTATAACTACAGCATGCACACACCTGAAGTGCAACATGTTCAGGATTTAGGCAAGTCCAAGACTCTGATTTACCTATAACTCACTTGAGATTTGCAAATCAATCCTTGCCTGAGGCTCTTGAGCATGTGGAGTGACAGTCATGACAACTGCACACACTGAATCTCCTCCTGCTGCCTCAAATTCAGCTCAGTGAACAACACTCTCAGCAAGTTCCCTTGGAGGACACCAAGGGGACCTTGTTGCACAGACACAGTGACTGCAATTTTGCAATAGTCCTGGGCTATGCCAGATGCTTTTAATCTCTGTCAGGAGAAGCAAGTGATTCCAAGAGGATCTCCACACAATGTGCTGGAGTAGTCCCTAGCTGAGCATACAGCAGGGTTGCTTTGCTAATTTCTTAAAGCACTATCAAAATTCCTTACAAGTTTATCCTTTAATTCCAGTTAAAAAACAGGAAGGCACAAAAATCCTGTTGTAAGACAGCACACAAAATTCCCAGTGTTTGAGGGACTTTGCCTCTCTAGACCAGTTTATAGCACACATGCTCTTCTATGGAAATCAACCCCTTCCAAGAATAATGCAAGGCACTATTATTTATAACAGTTACAAACTACAACAAGCTTGTATCTCAGTGAGTCCTTTCCCTCCTTCTTCTTGCTCTTGCTAACTCTTATCCTCTCATCTATTTTTCAACAGAAGGACTAACAAGGAATAATTTGAAAATGATAAATGACCAAGTTTATTTGCCAAGTCTTTTTGTATTCAAATATTTAATTTGTGCCTTCCAATAACAGCAGCGTAGGCAGTAGCCTTTCTCCTGCCCTCCACAAAAGAAAACAGAAGGAATTAGCCATGGGTTCAGATACATCGAGGTGTTCACTATGTGTGAGTTGGCTGCCTCGCAGCCAGATGCTGCAAAGCTACTTAGCATCACTCCAGACTCCAGACTGTGCTTTAATGATGACGTATTGGGAAAGCCTGCAGCAAGTTAAGGAGACAAGAACTGTGCCCAGCAGCAGGTACAATGTTTTTTCATTCTACATGCTGGACGTGAAAATATGCTGGGTGCCACTGAAGGTCATGGTACTCTCTGGACAGACAAGTAGCAAAGCACGTCGGCTGGGTTCAGACTTGGCTTTCCCTGAAGACAGCACTACTGTTCTCATTTAAAACAAGAGCTGAACTTTAATTTTAGCTGATAAATTATAAGAAAATCTCAAGAGGTCTTGATTTCTTGCTATGCATTCATGGTATTTTCCCACTAGAAATGCTACAGCTCAGTGTCCCTTAAAACTGAAGTTTATGCTGACCGGGTATGCTCTGAAAGAGCACATATCTGCTTCGTTGTATCCAGGAATACTGGACTCCTCCTGTAACTGCCTGTATGATAGATGTCACACATTATGACACAAAAATATCTTCCCATGACCAGCCCTGCTCCAGTAGGAAGTTTGGGGAGTGACACTTGGAGATAAAGCAGAAGGCCTGGCCTGTGCCCTTCACACCTGCTTGATAAGCAGCTGCCTTGTGCTCTGCACAGTGGATCCAGGCGGGCTTACCCGTGGTGATCCCAGCTGGGCTGCACCGCAGGGAACCGAACAGGCATTACTGACAAACCAGGGAGGGTACGATAAGCAAATGATCTGCATGCTGTGAAGCCGAATATTGGCTACATGAAGGATGGAAAAAGATATAACAGTGGTAAGACTTTATGAAGCACGATAAATATACTGCAAGCACTTTTCTGCATATGCAAACCTGAAAATTAAGTTCAGAGAATGCTGTTGGCTCAAAAAGCCAACAAGATCCTGTGCTCCCCTCTTCTAGCAGGACACAGAGTCCAAAAATATGAATGAACTGAAGCAATCTGGATCCTATTTGGTCGTTCAGCTCTGATGACTCATCTTCCCTGAGCTCTCCTTAGACTAATGACAAGGAAACAAACACAGGCAGAACAGTATTGAACTTGGCCTCATTCTGGCAAAGTAGTGTACCCAGGATTTTATCACTAGGTACCACTTGCACTTCTTGTGTTACCTGTACCCCAAGTAAGAATTAAAGGTTTTATAGGCAAACAATCTGTTTTTCTCTCAAGCCACAAATAATTTTTACTTGAATCCCAGGGCAGCCCAAAGTTTTACCCAAATAAATTTTTGAGAAACTTGCTGTCTGACGGAGCTTAAGGAACCACCCAGTCAGGGCAGCTCCTGTAGGCTCTCTCCTTAAATCCAGTGTGTCCCCTCTGAGCTGTGACCCAAAACGCTTCATGCAGAGTAAAGCCGCACATTAAGTGCAGAAGCCTGAGTCAGCTACCCCCAGCCAGGAGTAGTAATGTGAAGTGGTGGCTGTGATCCTTCTAAATCCTCCAGGTGAAAGCAAAAAAGACAGTTACACTCCTGAGACACAGTCAGTAGCGGTGCCAAGAGTGAGAGTCACCTCAGGGGCTGCCCTCCTCTCTTGGGAGTTCCTGCCCTTGCGAGTCCAGTCTGGCATCCTATGAAGCCCTTTATTTTTGAAGGAACAGGGTGACACAATTATTAAATGAAAAGTAAATGCTGTAAGCACAATTTTATGACTGAAAACAGTATAATCACCCTTGGATGTGTTTTTTGGGTGGTGGACTACATTTCTTACCCTGGTTTGAATACTTGTGCGCCTGTGAGCTTGCCTGCTTCCTCTGACCACCCTTTAAAAGGTACCTCTTCTCCTTAGAAGCTTCTGGGACCTCATCAGCATAAAGCAGTGCCTCCTCGATCTCCTAAAAGGGCTTTCTATCCTTCATCATGCATTCCCGAAGCTTTCACATCAGATGGCCATTCGCCTGGAGAGGGAACAAGCTTGGCTATCCCTCAGCAGAGGGGTCTGGTGCTGCCCACCCACATCGGGTGACACTGCGACGCTAACTGACGCTAATTTTAATGTCGATGTCGAAGTAAATCCCCTGATACCTCAGTTCCTCCGCTGGAAGAGTCAGGCCCTGCCCCGGCCCTCGGGAGGATGCAAGTGGCTGTGCCGGCTCCAGACTCGGGCTGCCGGGGTCGCGCCGGGGAGGGAGTTTCGGCCGAGAGCCTTTCTGCCGCCTGCGCTTCCCTCCAGCGGGGCCGGGCGGCGCTGGCGGCCGGGAGTGCCTGCCGTCGAGGCGGCTGCGAGACACCGCCCACGCCGGGGGTGGCCCCGCGTGGGTCCAGGGACGAGCGGGCGGCGCCTGCAGCAGACAGCGGCGGGGGACCGCGGCCGCAGCGCATCGGCAGCGCCCAGAGAGCGGAACCGAGCCGGGGCGGGATGCGGGCTCCGCCGGCCGCCGGGGCGAGCCGTCCCCGCATCCCGCACTGACGGCCCCCCCGGCGCCCGCTCCCTGCTCTGGGGCTTGGCCGGGAGCCGGCGGCTCCCCGGGGCCGCGCAGCCCATGGCCAGCTCCGCGCAGCCCCCGGCGGCCGCGGGGGGCGGCGGCCCCGACGGCGAGTCGCTGGCCGGGAGCGGCGAGGCCTTCGGGGACCGCTCCCTCAGCCAGGGCCTGAGCGTGCTGGTGGGGCTGGGGCTCTGCGTGACCATGCTGGGGCTGGGCTGCGCCGTGGAGCTGGGGCAGCTGGGGCAGCAGCTGCGGCGGCCCGTAGGGCTGTTGCTGGCGCTGCTGGGGCAATTCGTGGCTATGCCGCTGCTGGCCTTCCTCCTCGCCCTCATCTTCGCCCTGGACGAGGTGGCGGCCGTGGCCGTGCTGCTGTGCGGCTGCTGCCCCGGGGGCAACCTCTCCAACCTCATGTCGGTGCTCGTCGACGGGGATATGAATCTCAGGTATGCGCCCCGCTCTCCTTCACCCCCAGCCGGCCGGGCTGCGGCGGCCCCGGGACGCGAGGAGGGTTGGCTGGGCACCTGCCGCCAGTAGAAGCGGGATGGACGGATGCGCAGACGGACGGGCGGGCACGGGTGGGAATCTGCAGCACTGGTCTCCTGCTTCTCCCGGGGCAGATCTTACGCGGACCCTGAAACACGCCTCCTGCCCCCTCCCCAAAGAAGCCTGCCCGCGCCCTGGCCGGGGCGGGGAAGGGGGGGTCTCTTGCCGTGAGAAGCGCCCGGCCGGCTGCAGAGCCCTCTTACCGAGGCGGCTGCTCCCCGGGCGGGCGGGCGGTGATCCCGTGTCTCTTTGGTTCCCCCGGAGCAGCATTATCATGACGGCCTCCTCCACGCTGCTGGCCCTTTTCCTGATGCCCCTCTGCCTCTGGATCTACAGCCGCCACTGGATCAACACGGCCGTAGTGCAGCTGTTGCCCCTGGGGGCGGTGAGCCTGACGCTGGGCAGCACCCTACTGCCCATCGGCCTGGGGGTGCTCATCCGGTACCGGCACCCCCGCGCCGCCGACCTCCTGGTCAAGGTAGGCACAGGCTCGGGGGGGAGGTGGGCGGCCGCGCTGCGGGGGGATGCCCGAGGGCGGCACCGGTGGACGGGGGTCGGACGGCAGTAACCTTTCTGGTCCCTCCAAACCGACGGTAGCTTCACACAGGCATATTCAACTACTTAGATGGAATACCAGGACTTACAGTCTTGAAATAAAACGGTGGGGCAGAGACGGAAAGCGAGGGAAAGGGCGGGTTACCCCCTATCACAGTGCACGGAAAGGAGGGCAGCGTGGCACTGCACCCTGGGAGTCATCCTGGACCCTCTACCATAGGCATTCCCCAGCATCTCGCTTTCTCCCCACTTCCACTGCACCCAGGGCAAGTGAAACCAACCTGCAGGCATGGCCATGCTTCCTGAAAATATGCAACTAAATTAGCTTAATTGTGAAAGGAAGAGTGAAGCACACCCCCTGGCTCTCTTGATTCCCAGCAAGTCATCCCAAAGCAAAATGATGGAGGGTGACCTCAGCCCCTTCCTTTCCTAGAATATGATCAAACACCACCAAAATCCCGAGCCAGGAGCAAACCCAGGAAGGGCAGCACAACCATGTTTCACAGTTTAGGCTCTCTTAACAAGTGTCTACCTGCTATGCGTACCCTTTTAAACTAATAACCCATGTGTTCAATGTCTGTATCTGTTGCCAGATTTCCCTGTGGTCTCTCTTGGTGACTCTAGTGATTCTGTTCATCCTGACTGGGACCATGCTGGGCCCAGATCTGTTGGCACACATTCCTGCATCTGTCTACGCCATTGCAGTGCTGATGCCTCTAGCAGGGTACGCCTTGGGATATGGCTTAGCCACGGTCTTTAGAATGCCCCCACACTGCAGGAGAACAGTGTCTTTGGAAACAGGATGCCAAAACGTCCAGCTCTGCACCGCCATCCTAAAACTCACCTTCCCCCCGGAGCTCATAGGGGGCATGTACATGTTTCCCTTGCTTTATGCGCTTTTTCAGTCGGCAGAAGCGGGACTCTTTGTACTGGTATACAAGATGTATGGAAGAGACAGCTACAAGCAAGATACACTCGGAGAAGAGGAAGACACAGATATTTCCTACAAGAAACTGAAGGAAGAAGAGGTAGCTGATACTTCATATGGCACAGTGACCACAGAGGAGCACAACTCCATTCAGATGGAGCCAACGCAGACAGCGCTTTAGGCGAGATAAAGAGGTGACTCCCTGGGATGTGAATGTGTGTTGTGCTTGCAACTGGGCTGGGGCCTCACTCGCGGAGCTGCCCAGCCTCCATTGTTTCTCCAGCTGCTCCCATTGTACAAGGTGATGTGTGTTTATTACCATGACAGTTCTACTTCTTCAAAAAGTAAATGGGGGAGGGGGGGAAGGTAAAAAGTATCATTGTGATGCAGACCAGTAACTGTAAAACTTTATGTAAGGAGGCTGCTGCCCGGCTGAGTGCAGCAGGAACGGGTAGAAGGAAGGAGACAGCGTTTTACAAAGGCAAAGCCGACTCGGTGCCAGTATGGATGAAGGGAAAAACCACCTCGCGCGTGTATCTCTGTGCCTCCCACCTGCTGTAAAAGCATTGTGCTCGTTGTTCTCACCACAAATACATGGCGAAGCCGAACCAAACCCGTGCTCTCCTCTGTCTAATCCCGCGGGGGTAATTAAAAGCCGCGCTGCCCGGTTCACCTGGGGCGCTGTGCGCGGCATGGGGAGATTGCCCGAAGCCCAGCACCAGGCGGAGACGGGAAGGGGCAGCAAAGCCGGCGCCCGTCGGGGGCGGGGGAAGCCCGTCCCCGCCCCGGGGGTATTTAAGGCCGCCCCTGCAGGGAGGGCATTCCGGGTACGGTGCGATGGCGGAGGAGGGGATGGCGAGTTACCTGTACACCGCCTACCACCCCTACTCCTACCGCTACCCGCCGCCCAAGGGCAAAGGGGGAGCGGCGGGCGGCTGGCGGCCCCGGGGCAGCGGCTACTTCTCGGGTTACGGGGACGCGGCGGCGGCCGCCGAGTACTTCGACAACTACCAGCGGGCGCAGCTGAAGGCCATCCTGTCCCAGGTCAACCCCAACCTGACGCCGCGGCTCCGCAAGGCCAACACCAAGGAGGTGGGCGTGCAGGTGAACCCGCGGCAGGACGCCTCGGTGCAGTGCTCGCTCGGGCCCCGCACGCTGATGCGCCGCCGCCCCGGCCCCGCCGCGCCGCGGCCCCGCGAGGCGGAGCAGGAGCTGGGCAGCCCCGCCACCACCAGCACCCGCGCCGTGCGCTTCCCCCGCACCATCGCCGTCTACTCGCCCATGGCGTCCCGCAGACTCACCGCCTTCCTGGAGGAGCCGAGCGCGGAGCCGGAGCAGCCGCCGCAGCAGCAGGACAAGGCGGCGGCGGCGGCCGTCGAGGAGGAGCCGGCCGCGCTGAGAGAACAGCGGGAGGCGGAGGCGGCCGCCGTGCGGGCAAGCTGGGAGAAGCCCACCGAGGGTGGTGCCGAGGCGCTGGGGCAGCGCCCGGCCGAGCCCCTGGAGCAGCGCCCGGCCACCACCCCGGAGCCGCCAGCGGCGACGGAGACAGGCCAGGAGGAGGAGGTTGAGGTGGCGGTGGCAGAGGCAGCGCGGGCAGAGCCGGCAGAGCCGCCGGCCGCACCCCAGAAGCGGGAGCCGTCGGCGGGCAAGACCCGCCTGCGCTTCCAGGTGAGGGGTGGCCGGGGGGGAGTGGAGCGGGGCCGGGCTGGCCCGGGAGGTGCCCGCCCCGTCGAGTAACAGTTGTCCCCGGCAGTTTCTGGAGCAGAAGTACGGGTACTACCACTGCAAGGCCTGCAATATCCGCTGGGAGAGCGCCTACGTCTGGTGCGTCCAGGGCACCAACAAGGTAGGGCTCGGATCGTCCCCGCGCGGCCCCCTCGCCGCCGCCCCCCTGCTGACTCCGGCCTCCCCCCAGGTCTATTTTCGGCAGTTCTGCCGGACCTGCCAGAAGTCCTACAACCCGTACCGTGTGGAGGATATCACCTGCCAGGTAAGGGACGCCCTCCCTGCCGCGGGCCGGGCGGCCCCTGGGTCTGGCCACCCTCCCTGACCGCCGCCTTCTCCCTCAGAGCTGCAAGCAGACGCGGTGCACCTGCCCCGTGAAGATGCGCCACGTGGATCCCAAGAGGCCCCACCGCCAGGACCTCTGTGGCAGATGCAAAGGGAAACGCCTCTCCTGTGATAGCACATTCAGTTTCAAATACATCATCTGAGTGGGTTAGGGGTTTTTTTTGGTTTTGTTTAGGGCTCTTCTAGAAAACTGCAAGTAGAGCAGATTTTTTTTGTTGTTGGTATTGTTGAAGATACTTAGTGAGGTGTAGCTAGGAAAGCATGAAAATAAAAGTACTGCAAAGCATACTCAGATGATCAGGTGGGTTTGTGCTCAGCAGAGGGTGCATATTGCAAATTCTGTAACTTGCACAGGGGAAGAGCCCACAAGTGTTCTGTAAATTGGTGATGGTTTTGGAAGTACCTGGCTCAGGGCCTTGTAGCATTTCAGGTGGATACGGTTTCTGTTACTGCTCCTACTCTTGAACTAGTCAAACACTTGAAGTTAACATCAAATCAACATCTACAGTAGTTAGTAGACCATCATTCATGAACTAAACACATAATAGTATTCACTTACTGTACCCACCTGTAGTCCATGTAGAAAGTATCCTGCACCTGTTTTTCGTCACTAGAAAATGATTGAGAAAAGCTATGTAAGAACTAGGTCACTCTTACTGGTACAGCTGGTCTGCATTTAGCTAAGCTGCTGTTCTTGTCTGTAGACTAAAACCTAAGAAAGCTTTTCAGGGATAGTTTTCACAAAATGCTGAGGAACGGAGTCACTGATACTATAGTCTCTTAGTAAATGTGTTGCTCATCTTTCTTGTGCAAGCTTATCAAGAGAAGTGACACTTCTGCCTGGCTTCTTCAACTCATGGATAAAGCACTAGAGCTGTGCACTTACTGGATTACACTTGAGGAGTTTGATCTAGTTATGGTTTAGATGCCTGCCATTAGGGAAGGATCAAACTCCCACACCCTTCTGGGGTTGCGTTTGCAACTAGGAATTGTACTCTTGGTGTTTGGTAGTAATGACAGAACCAGCACTGATACTCCCAGATAATGCTCTCTCTGGGCCGTTGGTGTTGTCAGTGGTGATGCCCTCTGTAGGGACGTTATACTTCAGCAGAGTGTTACAAACTGACTGGGACTAACTAAAGCATCACTATCTGAGCAGATTCAAAAGCTACTACAACCTACAGTACCACCCCCAGTCTACCCTTTAGCTAAGGAGCTGGGTGAACTTAGAGGAAAACATACTCTTCTGAGAATGCTACTGAACACTAACTTTGAAATAAAACACCATAATGCACAAAGCCTTTTGCAGGACTCTAGATGTAGCTTCTCTTTGAAAAGAGTGATTTATCTTGGTTATCACAAATTTGTCTACATCTGTACCTAGCTTACTTGAGACCACTATTTTAAAGACTAAAGGGAGAACTATTGTGAGCCTATGCTGTACAGCAGCTTCAGGGCCAGGTGGTTTTGCATCTCCAAGTGGAAGCTAGTATATGGCTGGATAGGCAAACAATATCCCTTGTACAAACATGTCTGTTTTGAGGGGCAGTGTTAATCCTGTAGGCTTAACTCATCTTGCTGTAAATTCCTGCTTTATTTCAATATACCCCTTGAACCTGCTGCAGTGACTAAGGCTTAATGCTTCAGTGCCAATTTATTGCCAAGTAATTTTATTTATTCTTGCTGCGTTCATTATTATAGCAGCATGAGGCATTCTGGGAACAAGTAGACCTATCCCCTCCAGAGCAGAATACTGTTTTATTTCATACTTCTACCTGAAGTGTTTTTCCCTGTATGACAGTGAAAGTAAATATCCCTTGCTTTACCAGCTCACTCAGGCTTTCACATCAAGTTTCATCCTTGCTCTGATCCACTTGAAAAGTACACCTGCAGCTGGGCAGTTTTCTGTGGGTGTGTGTGCCTTGTACTCACCTGTAGGTACTGTAATGAGCAGTGGCAAGTCTCCAGCTTGAGGAGGAATCAGTTGGGGCCCTCTCTGCAAGCCATCCAGCCACACTGCCTCAGCTTGCAGTTGCAGCTATGATCTAGGATGTCTTCTAACTTCTGAGCATGTTCCCCTCTAAGGGTGTTCTTCAATACATTTTCCTATTTGCCTTCCCCATTCTAATGGTCTGTTCCTGATGGATGCAGTGAGAGCCTGATGGTGATGAATTTGTGCACATTGAAATGAGCCTGAGAACTAAAGCTCTGTGCCATGTCAGTATCAAATCATATGGCAATTAATGGCAATATGAGCAGTCAAGTGCTTCCTACTTTTATATGTGTTCTCACAAGCATTGCTTTGAAGTTTACTTGCTGTGAAAATGGAGACTCTTACGTGATTATTATCAGTAATAGCCCAAAGTGAAATTTAGTACAACTTTAGGGTTGTCATCCCCACTAAGCAGAGCAGCAGTTGGTTCTGCTTGATAAGATGTAAAACAGGCCTAGCTGATGTGAACTCAGTGCTTCAGCAGCAACTTGTCCAAGCAAGCAGCTGATGAAGGCTCCCAGGGCAGGTAGCAGCAAAGAGCCACCCCTGCTTTCATTAGCTATTGCAAAGTTTTGTGACTTGGAGGAGTAGAGGGCACTGGGCAGCCATATTAAACAAGCTTTCCTTTATCCTGTAGCATTCCTCAGTTCCATAGTAGCTTTACATGTCATCCCTCTTACATAAATATATTCAATGCTTTTACTGCTAGATGCTAAAGTACAGTTCTGTATTTCTCTAGTTCCTTTTCAGTTTTACTGCCCTGTCATGTCCTTGACAGCACACACTGTGTGTCATGGGCACTGGTTCCCAGACTCAGCAAGAAAAAGGAAAGCAACTCCTGACCTATGTGATTATGCAAAGTGGAAAGAAACAGCCTTTATGTTGCCAGTTCTTCAAAGATATCCTGAACTTGCCCTGTACGGCTTTTTCATGACGGGATTCTTTTGCACATGTTAGCTCAGTCAGTGCTATATTTGCTGCATCTTACTGGAGCTGTCTGATGTTTTGTTTTTTTCTAGACAGCTTTACCATAGCTTCAGATTTGGAACAGACCTGGCATCAGGTAATGCAGGGTGGCAGTTTACGCAGTAGTTGAGGAGTAATTTTTGAAAAGCTTCACAAAGTTAAAGCAATATCACACAGTCAGCTGGTGTGCTTCTGCTCCATAGGGCAGGTTTCACTAGCCATTATAAATGGAGGAAGATGTAAAGCATAAGGAATGACATATATGAATTCAGGTTTGAGTTTCATGAGAAATCCATTAACAGTTTCAGAAGATGCCTAGGAAATGCTGCTGCAATGACAGGACATAAAAGGAAAAAAACATGACTTCAGGGTACCCAGGTTTCTGTTGTCAGTGTTTGGTCTGCTTGGCTAAAGTATTTAAACTCTAGCTTGTAAAAATACACAAAATGACAGATATAATGTCTTTTATTTTTACAAAAAAAGCTGGTAAAAGATGATGTAAATAAAAGTGTAATGTGCCCCTAAATAAAACTACTTATCCCTGGTAAATACTAATTAAATAATTAAGAACACCATCTACAGTACCACAAAACCATCAAAATAATTCAATTTTATCAGGGACAGGGAAAAAAAATACAGTGAATATGGATGTGCCTTGACCAGTTACAGAACTTGTTAGGATAACATAACTACTGTCAGCAGTCCAACAGTGTGCACAGTGCCTTCAATTAATGCATTTCAGCATAATTACATTTCTAGTGGGGTCTAATTCCCTCAAAAAGGCAGAGCTAAGAATTTCAATTCTACATTCTAAACTCTGGAATTAGAGCCCATTAAAAAAAAATCACAGTGGGTAAGAGATGTATATAAAAATACTGGGTGTTCCTTTCAAATCACAGGAATAGTGGGACTACATTCTTTTTTTCTGTTTTTTTTTTTTCCTTTTTTTTTTTCTACAAAATGCTATTGGTTTCAACAGAATCCAGTTTGTTTTATGCTAAAGACTTTGACACTGAACTATGAATATATTGCCTGTTTGCATGTTTTGGTAGTCAGTAATTTATTTTTTTCTATATAGTCCCAATTCCTTAGGCTGCAGTTGAGTCATGAAGACGCATATACGTGCATTCAAACTCTTCAAACCCTGCAGACTACTCAGACTGCAAGTACTGTATGTGACTACCACGAGGGAACCCCCCTTCCCCTCATAGCTTTATACACCTACTGTTTTAACAGTGCATTGCACAAATTTACAAGAAAAATACTGGTTTTGCACTATACAGTTTCTAGAATATATACAGAATAAAATAAGTTAACTTCTAATGAGAATTGCTGATGGGCAGCATATATCTTTAATATACATTTTAAAGTCTCTGCAGGCAGCTACTTTTTGGTTAGTTGTTATCAATATTTGTAACATAAGCACTGGTCAGAGAACTGAGCAGCATTCCAATAAAGTTAACAGATATATTATTTCTTTTAGAAACACTGGGAAATCCCAGTTGAAAATATTATTAAATGTCCTAACATTTACACACTATGAGGATTAGATCTAATAAAATAAAATTTCTTCAAAAATAATCTTGCAGCTCTTTTAAGCATGCTCTGAGACCTTATTTAACAATCATCCATACCTTCAAAAAACAAACTGTCACATAGCCATACATTCTAACTCACACACATAATTTCCTTATTACAGACAACAAAAGCAAATAAAACACTGAGAAATCAATGGGTTTTGCAGTCGTAAGTCATTCTACTCATGTTGGACTGCACATTCTTCATGACATTGCAAAGTGTCTCGTTAGGTATTAGTTGATGATTATATCTACTACTGCTGGAAAAGCCAGGAAGCCTTGCAGGTCTTCAGCCAAAATAAACCAGCCTTGATTTTAGCATCATCCCACCTGCGATATTGATTCAACCCGTAGAGGCTGTTACTGCAAATATCATTTAGAGTTCTGTTACAACAGAAAATAATGCATATGTATGCATTACATTTAAGCCCTTTTCCTTTCATGTAGTTTTTATAGATAAATTTAATAAAAAAATACTACTGCCACACAGGCTGCTGTGTAGAAAGAGCAGTCAAGTAGGATGTTCACTTCAATTTTCAGATTTTTAGTTCTGATGAAACAGTTTCTTGCTGTGATAAAATTGTGTTGGTTGTCAGGATTGCTGGAAGCTTGTTTTTATGTTTTTCATGAAAGGTGCTCAATAATAGTCTGAAGTGTCATCATCATCAGTTCTTTTCTAAATGACAGCTGTTCAGAATCCAGTGCTCACAAGATTTATTCCTGGTCTGATCTTCCCTAGAAGCTGATAGGATTGCACCATGCGTAGAGACTCTCGAATTTCTAGATTAAGTTCCATCAGCTTTGAGCTGGCCTCAGACATGTCTTGGTTGGAGCCTACAACTGCGAAGCTGCCGGTCTGGCCAAGTGTCTGGTGACGGAAATATATGTGCAGCAGTGTTTGAACTGGGTCATCTTCAGAACTGCCAAAGATGTCGTGGGGCCAAATAGATCTGTAAACACACAATATGGATTTAAACATTAAAAAAATTAAATGTTTACATTATCTTATTCTTTAAACAGACACTTGAACAGAAGACATCGGAAAATGCAAGAGAAATGTTTCTTCCATAGAGTCCTGATAATT